GTTAATGATATTCATGCCAATCTATTTAGAGAGAAATGTAAAGACATCTCTACTGATTTTGAAATACATTGAAAATAGAATAAGTTGATGGATGGATATATGCGTGACAAGGAAGGATGGTATAATGTCAGTGGTGGAATCTAGGTCCTGGATGTCTAGGTATTCACTATAAAACTATTAATACTTCAACTTTTCTAGTTGAAAATTTTCATAATAAAATGTTAGAAAAAAGATAACAATGTATGGGACAGGGGGTGGGTTGAAAGAGAAGTTCATCTAAGAGATGTATGAAGGATAAATTTTCTGTGAGCTTCTAGCCAACAAAGAAAAAAAGTGTATGAGAATTTTCTGACAACAAAGGTGGGACATGAGAGAAACAATACAACTGGACTTGGGCTAGCAGTCTTTCCCACACAATGTTAAGCAGCTGCCAATCAAAAAGTTAGGAAGAGTCAGTGATGGTTGGCTCCCCAGACCTGGCAAAATCCATGATGCCCAGGTGGGTATCCTCAGAGTCCACTGGCTCCACACACCTTGGAAGGACTATGCAGATGCCTAGTCCCTTCAGCACTCCTGAAGGGTCATGTGTATATTCCCTCAAGCCACTTCACTCCAGATGGGTGTGACTGCTTTCTTTATCATGTAAGGACATGTTTATTTTACTAAATAGCTAGGTCTCAGTACTTTTGTTGGGAAGTGAAATTAACCACCCTTAGATGTGTGGTATGGATGGGTGAAGGCATTGGACAAGGTGATATCTAAGCTCTCTCATACTTTTAGACGCCTAATGATCCAAAGTCTAGTTGCTTTAGCACCGAATAGCTCTAGAAGCCCCTAAACCCTGCTTCTCTGAGCCACCTTCTCTGACCAGGAAAGGGAGATGAGCAGTGGATAATCTCTTCTCCCACTTACCTTCACTGGGGTCTGTGGGAATCTCACTTTCCTCTGGCCCTGCCTGGTGCTCTGTATTTTGTTCTCCTTCTGGTTGAATCTGTGATAAGACATCAGGTTGATTCATAGCATAATCTAGGAGAAGAAAAAGGAAGAGTGTGTACGACAAAGAAATAAATGAGGATGACAACTAATCAAGGCTGACCTGAAGCTTTGAGGTCCACAGTCCCAGGGAATTTCTTTCAGATCCCGTATCACTTCTTCCCATCCATCCACCTCCAACTATGGGTATCTATTCAGGGAAGCAGGTAAGAGGAAACGTAATGTGAGGGGAAAGCACATGTGCCAAGTGAGCACTGCCTACCCACTCCTTGAGTCACAGCGTGCTCAAGGGGGAGAAGTGAAGGATACCCATGGAAACCATCAGATGACACACCCATAATCCCAAACTTCGCTCTCTGTCCTATAATTTGGCAAAAGGAGAGATGGTGATTTCTATTTAGCAAATGTGAATTGGTCATCTTTGCCTTGGAACCAGAATCTGAAGTGAGGACAGAGAAAATGAGGACACTAGAGGAAAAGGCACTGTTCTAAGCCCTCTTGGAGCTGCAGTGATCTCATTCAAAAGGTGCCAACACTCAGCCTCACCCATGGAGACGAGAGACTCGTAGTTGCCCTTCATGATATTCTTGTAAAGTTCCTTTTGCCATTCTTCTAATTTTTCCCACTCTGGAGTGGAAAAGTAGATGGAGACATCATCGAATGCCACAGGCACCTAAAATTACAATCACATGGATTAGTCCCTCCCATTGCAACCCAGTCATTCAATAAATCTTTTCCCTCTAACTAATTCCTTTTATTATTTTTTTACATTTCAAAGGGTTGTCAATAAGTATTCTAAATATCTCTGAAACCGTTTTTTTTAATGTTCCACTTGTCATTAGTGTGATACTAATAATCCTGACACTCACACAATACAGCATGTAGCTGGTACCTTTCCTTGAAGCACATTCAAGTGTTCTGGCCAACAGCAATAAAGGATCTAAATACTACGTATTTTAAAACTTCAAGCTTTATTGAGTCTCTGATTTCACCCCTTTTATCCAAGAACATCATTCCCTAGAAGATCCAAGTTCCTCTATTTTTTTTCTTTGTATTATTTCTAGTTCTTCTAGTCTTTTGCCAGGTAAAGCATTAGTTCCCTTTGATGCTACTCCTCCCGCATATGAGGAATGGATAATTCCATGGTTGATGACTGAAAGCTAACAGGATTGATGACGGACAAACGTTAGGAACCAAAATTTAATTTCAAAATTCATTATGTCTTCTCTGTATATCCTTTAGTCTTTTTTGAAGTTTTGTATATTCTTCAAATGGAACGTTTTGTCTATTTAATACCTGGCTTTCTGTTGCCAACTCTCTATTTGTCTCCAAGACTTCCACTTTCTCCTGCAATCTCTTCAATTTGTTTTCACGACGAGATTTTTTTATTTTTCTGGGCAACTGCAGCTCACCGTAGTTTCTCTCTAGCTTGATTGTACTCTTCTCTATGATAACATTCATGAAGTGTATACTTTTCTTCCAAACACTGGTCTGTTCCTGTTTCAATGTCTTCAACTTCTAGCTTCATTTTTCCAGCTTGACTTCCTAAAATTTGGCATTCCTGTTTTAACTTCATCATTTCCTTGAGCATTTGGTTTGAATTGTGCAAGTCACTCTCTGACTCTGCAAAGTTAGGTCGCTTGAATCTGAAAACTACTGATTTACTGTTTCAAGTCAGACTTTTCATTTTGTATTTTGTTCTTTGCTTGATTGTAGCTCTTTTTCCAAGCATTTGGCCTACAGTTTAGCTGACTTTTTCAGCCTCCAGGGATCTGACTGTGGCCTGCATCTCAGCCAGCTGCCACACTTGTATTCTTTTGACATTTTCTACCTGAGCACCAGAATTCTCTTTTTCAGCCCTTAAATTCTGCTACTTCAGCCTCTGAATATTTTAGTTTCCAAAAGAAATGGACTTTCTTGAACAAGTATCTCCACTTATTTGCTGTCTCTTGTGAGATCAACACTAAGCAGCTGGCTATGTAGTTCATCTTTGTCCAGTACTGCAATCTCTAATTCATATTTTAAGTTTTCTTATAAAACATGTACAAATTCTTCTTTTTGGTGATCAAATTCTGATTTGAGAAACACATTCACAATACAGCAAGGAGGAGGTGGGGTGAGGTGCCAAAGGGGCCCCTTAGGCTTCCAACTGTGGGAAAATGTAAGGTCTCTGGTAGAGCTCCGAAGGCAGAGAGGGCAGCGCTGGAAAAAAGCCCATCTCCTCCTCCGTGGGTGGGCCTCCTCAAGGGTGCAGGGCCAAGACACTACCTCAGCCCGCTGCCCACTCCCCTCAACCCCCTTATTCAATAAATCTTTACTAAGTGCCTACAAGTTACAAAGGTACAAATGCAACAGTGTTTACTTCACATTACAAAACATTCGGAGTATCCAGTATATACGAGGTTTTCACTAAGCACCAGGATTATTAAAATATGCTTTCTGCCCATAAAGGACATATGACTATATGCAAATTAATGACATGGACATTTTAGAAACAGAACTATAATGGGGCTGGGATGACTCTAAAAGAGATGGGGCTTTGGCTAGTATTAAGAGAAATGGAAAAAACATGTAAGCAAGGAAAACTGACGAGTACATTCAGAGGACAACTGTGTATTCTGCCTAGTTGGAATCAAGGTTTCAGGTAGGGAATGGCCATATGCAAAAAAGAATTCCTCCCATTTCTTAGTACAGGTTGGTCTAAAGCTAGGCAAAAATGGGAAAGTTCTTCTGCAAAGAAATACAAGAATTATCTGTGAAAATCAAAGTACCCAGTATGAACACTATCACCTAATATAAAGCTGCCCTCATTCTGGAGTTTAGTTATTATGGCTGGCTCTTTCTCCTCCCACCTGGTGGCTTTCTACAGTGTTAATCTTTTTAAACTTTTAAAAAACTCTTTTTGTAGAGACAAGGTCTTGCTGTGTTACCCAGGCTGGTCTCGAACTCCTGGCCTCAAGCGATCTTCCCACCGCTGCCTCCCAAAGTGCTGGGATTATAGTTTTATTCTTGAATATGAACTATTAAGTATCAATGACTATTTAGAGAAAGAAAGCCTGTGACATGAACATGAAAAACTAAAATAAGAGGAGGAGGGAAAAAACGACCATAAAAAAAACCTAGAAATAATTAGGGAACAGAATTTAAAAAGATAAAAACTTATCTAATTACTATTCCCATAAATACGTGAGACACACCCATATTTATGGCTAATATATCCATAAAATAAAAAACAGGATGTCATGGAAAAAGGACAATGAGAGAAGATTCTCCTTGTAACTAATATACAGGCATTCATAGCATAACAACATTGGGGTCAAGGACAGACTGCATATACCACAGATATTAATATAATATTGATTATCTGGACTCTATGTAGGCCTAGGCTAATGTGTACACTTGTGTCTTAGTTTTTAATAAAGTTTTTTTTTTTTTTGAGATAGGGTCTCACTAAATCATCCAGGCTGGTCTGGAACTCCTGGTCTCAAGCAATCCTCCCGCCTCAGCCTCCTAAGTAGCTGGGATTACAGACATGTATCACAGTGCTCAGCTCATGATAAAATTTAAGAAGTTAAAAAAAAAATCTAATAATAGGAAAAAGCTTATTGAATAAGGATATGAATAAAGAAAATTTTTATAACCA